CGGGGGGTTTGACCGCGCTCCGAGTTCTTCCGCCACAAGGCCTGTTTGGCTCTACCCCCAATTATTTAGGGCGCCAAACCGTCGGCTGATTACGGCGATCGTCGGGGGTAAGGCCAGTAGGGTTACGCGTATCCCGGTCTGCCTAACGGCGACTGCGCAGAGTAAGCAGATGGGGGGGATACGCGTTGTATCCGAGGTTCAGGCCATTGGTGTCCAACTTTCCTTCGATTTCTCCTTAATTAGAGTACGCCGGCAGCTCAGATGATGACTCCTTAAGTCAGGTCGTGAGGACGTTCGAAGTCGCGCGTATTTTACCTAACGAATAATCCGAAAATATAGCGAATTAATGAAACCCGTATGTAACCGCTCGCGGCTGAAAATCGCTAGCATGCAACAGGGGTAGGTTATCCAGTAAATTATATATATATAAATATAAAGATAATTAATCGTTTTATTGATGCATTAAAATTTTTCACATACGAGGTCGGAATAAATATGGTCGGTAAAATTCTGAGTTTTCATTAATCCCTAAGATACAATTTAAACGGTTCCTAAAATGGCGGAAAGGTCAGCGCGAGTAACAAATCGCAATTTTCTTTTATAAGACCTAACGCTCAAATTCGGTTTGCGAAATGGCGGAAAGGTCAGCACAACTAATTAGTCAAAACAATTTAATTCAATTGAACCTACGTTCGTACTAAGTAACTAACACAAGGTCAGCGCGAATACTAAATTGTAATTTTCTTTTGTAAGACGAAACTTAATAAACGTTGACGAAAGGTCAGCGCGAATACCAAGTAGCGATTTTCTTTCATAAAACGAACACTTAATAAAAGTCGACGAAAGGTCAGCGCGAATACTAAGTCGCGATTTCTCTCGTAACCGAACACTCAATTTATTTTCACGGAATGGCGGACAGGTCAGCACGATCCGGTAGGCACCGGCGTCGACGGATCCACGCGTCGCGACGACCTACGGCACTGAACGATTGATCCCCGCACTCCGCGATTAATTAAAAATAAGTGGCACTTTGCCTACTTACAAATTTTCCTTGCGGTATTAGCAAACAAAATTGGCGGGAGGAGTATGACTGGCATCTAGCGCTAATAATCGACAGCGAGATTAGCTGATAGAGAGAGGCTCCTTCCTTGCGGATATCCAGTGGCAAAATGTACGAGAATCGGCTTCTCGCGGTCAAAGATCGTTTCTCTTCTCCTCTTTCCGAGAAGAAATGTTATTATTGGTCGGTATGCTAATTCGGATATCGGTAGCGCCCTCCGAATTTTTATCATTGGTCCGTATGTAAATTAGAATAATACAGCGCCCTCCTTAACTCTCCTACTTTCGTCGTTATTTACTCTCTCTCACCCCCCACTAAGGTATATATCATTAATTGTCGGAAAAGATCTACCCCTACTCTTATCTATTCGTCTAAGCGGACGGAAATCAAATTTTATTCTAATTTGCCTATTGGTCGTGACGTCACTAGCGAATTTTGTCAGATATTCGAATTCAGTTAGTTAAATTATCATTTAAACCTAAAGGGGGTAGTTGTCGCTCGCCATCATAATAGGGGTGTCGGTCGCGTGCGAATTTTACAATTCGATATTTGTTTCGTGTTCATTCTTTTTCAATTTATAATTTAATTTTAATCTCAGAAATACGTATATAATATACGCTGTTTCATTTGTAGCGCCCTCATCTTCGCATTTACATATTATTCTATTATTTTATATTGTCTGTCTCGCTCGCTCTTGTTTCGTCTATTTCGTTCGCTCTGTCTCAGTCTGTCTCGCTCGCTCTGTCTCGCTCGCTCTGTCTCAGTCTGTCTCGCTCGCTCGCTCTCAGTCTATATCGGCGCTTCAAGATGGCCGCTCAGTTTCTCGCGCGTACGCCTCGTGTCCTTGCGCCGGTTGTTGGAGCGCCTCCTGGGGCGCTCCCGTGTCGGTTCTGTGGTGTTGTTCCGGGTGTTTGTGTGTGTGGTCGCTGATTTTCGTGTGTGTGGCGCTCAGGATGTCGCCGATGGTGTTCGGCAGCCCGACACAGCTGATTGCCGGCTGCCACTTCATCGGCGATTTTCTGCTCGCCCCAGGAGTGTCAGTGCCTCGTGAGTGTTCGTGTTAGTGTCTGGGAGTGTAACGGATCTGCATGTGTCATCAACATGCATCTCCGTTGCATTTCCCAGTCAGGTTTTGCATTTTTCTTTTGCCGGCCGGCAACACGTGGTCGGGAGTGTCTGTGAGTGAGTGTGTGCGTGCGCTCTCTTTTTCTGTGGTGCGCTCCTTTTTTTTTTGTCTGCTCTTTGAGCGTCCGTCGGATCGCGTTAGACAGTTTGCTTCGTCCATATCTCCGGCGTGGTCGTTCGGACATAAAAAAGAATAATTGTTCGGTATAGGGCGCGTTAAACTCTATTTTATACAACCGGTTACGGGGCGGCAAGGGACGGGGATGGCCTTTCCGAGGTGTTGCAAATAATGCAGCACTCAGGAAAGGCCTTGTAATGTGCCACATTACAAACCATATATAACGAGCTATAGACTACATCTCAAACCTTACTTGGGATCATCTTTAAAAAAAAAAACTTTGAAGTAAATTTACCCGATAGAGCTCTCAAATATCGACTTAATGAAGTGTAACGGTCCAGTATAATTTGCCTTTTCTCCCACTGCAAAATAGCAACCCGTCGTACGCAAGAAAACTGAAGAAAAGCGGTACTTGAGCGAAAGCGCTTTTCTCATATACGTGTAAATGTGTTAGGGCAATTCGACGAAAACCAGACCATATACGAGGGTGGTCCGATAAGTACTTAGCCTCACCGCCCGATGGCGCCACTCTCGCAAAAGAAATATTCTATTACGTAGTACAACCTTCTCGATAGTTACTGTCAAGATTTCAGCCGGATCGGAGTTATAGTATATTTTTGAGAGCGTGTGAAAGCAAGTGTGTCTGTTGATTTTTGAAAAATGGAAAAAGAGCAGTATCGGTCGGTGATTCGATTCTTGTTTTTGGAAGGGAAATCGCGGGGCGAAATCAAAAAGCGCTTGGATGCTGTGTACGGTGACTTTTCTCCTTCGATGGCGATCGTCAAAAATTGGTTTAACGAGTTTCAACGTGGTCGCACGTCGATTTTTGAAGAGCCACGTCCAGGTGCTCCGAAAACGGCTACCACGGAGGATAACGTGAGAAAAATTCACGATCTCGTATTGGCAGATCGACGATTGAAGGTGCGCGAGATAGTTAAGATCGTAGGCATCTCAAAAGACCGCGTGGGTCATGTTTTGCATGAAATTTTGGGCATGAGAAAGCTGTTTAAGCGCAATCCGAAGGAGTTTCTGCGTCGTTTCGTGACAGTCGACGAAACATGGATCCACTGGTATACACCAGAGACCAAGGAACAGTCGAAACAGTGGACTTTACCCGGCGAATGTGCTCCGAAGAAGACGAAGACTGCCCCATCGGCCGGAAAGGTGATGGCCACCGTTTTCTGGGATTCACAAGGTGTGATCTACATCGACTACCTGGAGAGGGGCAAAACGGTTACAGGGCTGTACTATGCCGAATTATTGGGCCGATTCTACGTCGAATTGCAGAAAAAACGGCCCCATTTGGCGAAGAAAAAAAACGTGCTCTTCCATCATGACAACGCACCGGCTCATACCTCCACCGTCGCCATGGCCAAATTGGTCGAATGAGACTACAAACTGCTGCCCCAACCACCGTATTCTCTAGGTTTAGCCCCGTGCGACTTCTTTTTGTTTCCAAACTTGAAAAAGTCACTCGTCGGGCAGAAATTTGAGTCGAATGAGGAGGTAATCGCTGCCACGGAAGCCTACTTTTCTCACCTCGAGGAAACGTATTTTTCATACGGGTTAAAGAAGTTGGAGCATCGCTGGGCCAAGTGTATCGAACTAAAAGGAGACTATGTTGAAAAATAAAACGCCACTTTTCCAAAATTTTCGTTTTTCTTTTGTAGGCTAAGTACTTATCGGTTCACCCTCGTACACTATATAATATTCTCCGATCCTTCCATTCGTTAATTCTCGTTGTGGCTGACAGATCATGAAGTGTTACGGATAGTGTATACCCGAAACGTTCTACTGATATCACTAGGTTATATCACAAAGTGTTTAGGCACAGTACGATACCTTTCTTACTAATGTCAAAATTTTCACCAAAAATTGATACACAGCAGCGACGTGGTATTCAGAATTTCCGTAGAGGGCGCGGTATGTCGTTAGACTGACTAATGCTGAATGATGACGAAGCTTCGAGCAAGCCTTCAGTCAGACCGTGAAACAAAATCACTTCCCTTCAAACTAGACATATACGAAAATAACCGAAACTCAAGCTATAAATATTAGGATGCACGATATGTAGAAAAACATTCTCATCACCCACACTTACAATCAGCTCAAGAAGTTAGCCAATTATCCAAGCGCTTAAAAAGAAACGTAGAATCCGAAAGCCAGACGCGTTACTTTAAAATCCATGCAAGTTTGTATTTAGATTCACGATTATCTTTTTTTTTGAATGTCATAGCTCAAGCAAGATTAACCCACGTGACGCGTCTAATTAATTCACATAGCGAGAGTATTAGCCAGTAGTTATCGTTTCAATAAATAACGTGACCTCTCTTTATATTAGGAGCAATAATAAATATATTCCCTCTAACATCAGTTACTCATTTCATCTCGTTTTGTTGATTATCTTCATTGCGAAGCGAATTAAGGAAACAAAAACTTTCAACCGGTGACATTATAATCTTTTTATTTACGCCCTAAATTTGCGTTCAGCCTATATTTGTAAATAATAAACTGTATATAAATGATATTCTATTTTCAATGTACATGTGAACAATTCGAAACAAAATTGCGCAAGCAAACCTTCACTTCATTTCTACTTGAAAACCATGATTTTTTGATAATAAATAGTAAATTGATAAAATTATCATGGTCATCTAAGATTATTATATTTAAGCTATATAATCTATTATTTTTCAGAAAATACAAATGAAATACATGCTCACAAAATAATCATGGAACCTACATATAATGGTGTTCAAAAAAATTCAGTAAAGGAAATATTGAAGTGTTCTATTTGTGGCGATAGACCAACTGGAAAACATTATGGAGCAGTATCTTGTGATGGATGTAAGGGATTTTTCAGACGCTCAATACGAAAAAATCACTTCTATACTTGCAGGTTTGATATTTTCTTTTTTTTTCTAAACTTTAAAAGTGTGTTATACATATTACTATAACTAAATGAGAAGTCTTTAATAAAACTTTTTTGTTGGGGTATTTTTTGATGAAAATAATCATTTATTATTAACAATAAGAAAGAGTACATTGTTCAAAGTATTGTCCATGGCTAGCTAATATTTATTTCCATCTTCTTGGTAATTTACGGTTTCCTACTCGAAAAAATGGCACGTCTTTTGAGGATATCCACGACTCCATCTAATTTTTCACTTCGTTAAAGAATAGAAGTACTTAGTGAGGCCATGCCTCATCAATCAAAACGAGCATCGAAAGGAGCAAAGTGTGGATAAAACAGACGGTGGGTCAATGCCCCCAACGTTGTTTGAACAGGTTTCGAAACATGCGGCCAAGTATTGTCATATTAAAAAATTAACTTGTCATGTTTTTTAGCATATTCTAGTCGTTTTTGCTCTAGTATTCGACTCAATTCGACAATGGTACGCAATTCGACATCTTCACCGTAATCAAAAATTTTTATTGGATTATTTGTGTTCATTTTGACAGATGAAATTAAATAGATTTTTTTCTTCAAGATGGAATAGCTGATGATGTCGAAAAAATGGCGTGAATAACCGAGTTGAAGTGATTGGAAAAATGAGGACTATTCCACTTTTATTCTCAATACATTTACAATTTCCTAACGTCCTCGCGGACATCATGAGCCTACAAGAAGCGATCTATGTCTTTAAATCGAGAATGTAGTGTCAAAAAATCTAAAGATGATCTTATCAATAATAATTACTCTTGCTAATCTTAATACTTAGTGCTTTGTGATAAAATTTTTTTTGTCTTTCTTTGCATTCAGCTTAATGCATGAATATAGATTTAAACTTTTATTCACAAAATGAAATATTCAAAAATTCGATATGTTTTAAACATCCACATCATTTAATATTAAATATAGCCGACGATAATATGTAATAATAAAAATTATGCAGTTACGTTAATACATATAATAAAAAAAATGTTGTCAATGAAATTTAAATTTTTATCAACCTAGGTTGTCCTGAAAAATCTTGAAGTCTTCTCAAAAATATATTGAAAGATGAAATATATATTCTAAAAATATTAGTTTTCTATAATTATATTCTTTATAATATAAATAAAATATGTTGGTAGACCTTCAGCTGTAATAAAAACATTAAAAAAAAATATTTTCTCATATTGTATGTAACTAAATATAACTGAAAATACTGTATAATATTTTATCGTGATAAGTTATCGATTTATATCTTTTATTACCTATTTATTTAACTTCTCTATGGTGGTATCAATCGATTTTTATTTTGATACTAGTGTGATCAAATTCAATAGTTCATATTAAATTCATGCCAGCTATACTGATATAGTTTTGAAATGTTTAATTATCTACAAAAGTCTGCAGTAACATTTCATGACTGTGTGATAATACGGTATCTCAGAAAATCTTGTGTCCGCTATTTTCTATGCCATTCCCAACTCACTAAATCCTCTTTGTTCAAGAAGACGCGACTGACTGATCAGACATCCGACCGTATCGAAACCTTGTGAATCACGACCTGTCAGGATCCGCCCGATCGATGTGCACTACCATTACACCCAACCCCCACACGCACACTTTTACACATAGAACCCGGCCCGACACTCCACCAGCAAGCTAGACGACGAGGAATTCGCAGCCGAGATCAGTTAATCTTGGTAGCTGAGTTCACAAGCAGAAGCACCGCACGTACATTAACACCTCTTGCCATCCAAACAACACACTCGAAGCACAGCCCAACTAACAGACATACACTCACACACACTGACCAACCTTAGAGGCACCGAGAGGCAGTCACGAAGAGCGGCAACAGGATGCGACGTTGACGCGGGAACTGACCGGCGGCCATGTTGCGACGAGATCGGCAACGAGGATGAGCTAGAGAGAGTGGAGGCGACGAGAGTGAGAACATGAGTACGAGCGACCTGACCGATAGAGTAGATGCAAGTGGAGATACCGATGCTAAGTAGTGACGACCGGTAGGACTAATGTTCATGAGAGAGCAAAGGATAGACGATAACAATGCAGGTAACGCTAGACTGATCGGCGCGCGCACTGTCCAACAGCCAATGATAACAGAGATAGGGATATAATAACGAATAGGATAAAACCGAAGCTATCTAACTGATCTGTAGCAAAATTATGCAAGATAAAGTAACAAAATAGACGACGCTGATGATCGGATTGACGACACTCGTGACCAATACGATAAAAATCCGTCAGAAAAAGGAGAGGTAATCGAAGGAACACGCTACGATGTCGCGCTAGTCGCGGCCTATTCCTCTAGAGGCTGCAGCCGTGGATTGACGTGATCAATGAGAAGGCGAGGCAACAAAAAGTGTCAAGTACTACTAGTCCGGACGAGAGAGAAAGGCAAAGGCGAGAGCCACGGACCGGATAACTCTACAGCATCTGTAAGTACCTATTACGTTTGAATCGTGAACGGGAGTGCGCGAAGAGAGAGTAGGATCCGTGGATCCGCGAATCGTTCCCATCGATCCACGGGTAATCTACGGTGCGTGATAAGTTGTCGCCTTTGTGTTCTCTGACCGACCGATCGACCCGACCTGTAATTATCGCAAGTGCGGGTTACGGTAGCGTCGCGGTGCGCCTAACAAAGGAAAGATTCGCAATGTGAATCTCGTGTGCTGCAATGGGAATAGTGTCGGCGCGGATAGATAGGTTGATCGCCGCGTCGTCTAATAAAATAGAAGAATAACGAATGTAGAAATATTGAATAGCTTGGCATTCGGCAAACAGATTGAAAATAAAAGCATAGAAACAGTAGGCATATTGAGTTATTTGAACTTGGCAGACAATTTAGCATAGGAACATAGTAACAGAAGGAATGTAGCATAGCTTGACCTTGGGCAGACCAAGTAATGAAGGAACATAGAAATAGTTAGGTGAATATAACAGCTTGACCTTAGGCGGAGCGTTTAATGAATCTTTTTGGTTTATTAATAAATGGATTTTTTTTCTCGATAATCTGCGTTTTCTCTTTGCGTAATCTCTAATTTACCTATCCCTATTTCGCAATCGGATTACCGCGTAGGAGGGGCAGGTTAGCGTGAATCTGTACGACGATATCGTAACCATGCGCCACTGCGTTTCAAAACTTCCGATCACCCGTAAGACTACCCGCTACCAAAGCGATCTTGAAGGAGCCACTCACACTACCCGCTTCTGAACAGGAGCCCGCTCACCGACGCACCTTTTTTGGACCAGCTAGCCGAGCCGCCCCTCCCCCTTTTTCTCTCTTTTATTCTCTGCTAATCTCATAGCTGCTCATCTGATAGCCCTTTCGCGTCTCCCATCCTCGCGTAATATTCACACGTGGTCGACTTGGGCCATGGACGAACCGATGAGGTAACTATTGGGAAGCTCGACAGGAATCCTCAGCAACGGTAGTAGCAGTAGCAGCAGTAGCAGCAGTAGCAGTAGTAGCAGCAGTAGCAGCAGTGACAGCAGCAGTGACAGCAGCAGCGACAACGGTAGCATCTATAGCAGTAGCCATCATCAGCTATTACAACATCCGCAGCTCTCTTTCTGTTTTCTACCCCCCCCCCCCGCCCTTCTTTCCGCGTGCACGCGTTCTCCTAACATGAGAACGGTGGCTGGCGCCCAACATACCCACGATCGTACAAACAACAAAAAGCTGCATTCGGACTTCGATTTGACCCTTGATTCTTGACCGACCCCCACCCCCCTGCGTGTACACGTGCGCACGCCACCCATTGGATGTTGACAGACAAGGACTGGACGAGGCCGAGGAAATCCCTACTACTATTTTCTCGTTACCTCTCCCGCGTCACAATTGTACATAAAAGATATTTCACACTATCACACAACACTTGATCACGTGTCTCTTTCAGCTATACAAATCAGGAATGAACTGGCTTCACTTTGTCAGATTCTCAATTTTATGAAAAGCATAATTGTACTGATGATTCAATTCATCTACTAGTCTTGTAATCCTTATCCTATTATTCTCGTGATTCTTAAACGTAAACAGGTTGACTGAAAACATCAAATAAAGAGTATTATCATCTTTTATGTTTTCCAACTTCATCGCATCGATTGTACGAGGATTGTTCAATAAGTCGGTAACTTTAAATAAAAACACTATTGATTTAATAAATTCCAATTTTTTTTTCAATATAGTCGTCTTCTAACTCTATTCTTTTATTATAGCGGTGCTCAAGCTGTTTTATGCCATCTGAAAAGTAATTGTTATCTAACTCCTCAAAATACTCATTGATCACAGTAATTACCTCTTCGTTAGATGAAAATCTCATACCCACAAGCCAAATTTTCATATCAAGAAATAAAGAAAAATCGGAAGGGGCCAAATCTGGAAATAAGGTGGATCAGAAAGTATTGCGTAGCGTAAATCAAATAATTTGGCCGTTGCTTGGAACTCCTGTGAGTTGGTGCATTGCCATGAAAATGCCATGGAAAAGAACTTTTTTTTGACCAGATGGGACCGCTTTTTCTTCAGTATAGCATCAAATTTGTCTAATAATGAGAAAAAATATTTTCCTGTCATATTTCTTCCACTCAGTAGGTAATCGACTAATGTTTTACCACTCGAATCTCAAATAGTTATAACCGTGACTTTTTCGGCTGATCGTACCATCTTCATTTTTTTCGACGCGAATTTACCTGGTTTAATTCACATTTTCGACTGATTTTTCATTTTTGGCGTATAATAATAAATCCATGTTTCATCAAAAGTAATGCAGCGTCGCAAAAACTCCTTTGGATTACTTTGAAACATATTCAAACATTGCTCAGATGTAACTATACGAGCTCGCTTGTTATGTACAAACGCGGCACCCATCCTGTAGACAACTTTCTTATGCCCAAATATTCATGTAGAATATTCCATGTGCATCTTACTGAAATCTTAAGAGTCTCAT